TTAAATTTTCCAAACAAAGCATGGAACTAGAAGCATGAGGTTAAGATTTATACCTTGATAAATAGACTTTTCTTTCCATTAGTTGGTACTAACTATTCTATTTTTCTTATTTTTTTATGCATGTTACATTGCTCTAATCTGTTCATATCGATTTCTTTTGTTTGCATTGCATGATCATGGCATAATCAAAAAGTGTTGACTTGAAAGACTGTTCATCAAATTGGAAAGAAATCGTAAATGGACAAAAAGTTTTATGATCAAACCAAATATGATGCGGCCAAGGAAAGACATCCTGAAGAAACTACGAGGATCGAGGGAAGTTCTGTACATAGAGAACCGGTTATACTAATACCAAAAGTATTACACAAAGATCCTACCAGATTGATACCAAGAGCATTCTATGGTAAGAACATCAGTCAGGGCATTCAGAGTAGTGAAGGTTTTTATGAAGCTCAAGCATGTTATTTGAAGGGCTTGAACGACCAAAACAAGAAATTGAGCACAGAAATGTAAACCATGCATGAAGATTTTCAGAAGATCAGTCAAACCTTTCAAAATACTGGCCTAGGAAGTACACCAGAAGAGTGGATGACAGGGGTCACCAAGCTGAAAAAGAACTACAACATATATGAAGATCTAATCCAAGAACTTCTTGGACAAAAAGGTTCTCTTACAAGGGAAAATAAGCAACTCCGAGAAATGACACAGAAGATAAAAGAGAATGTCATGGAAGAAGTTACAATCCAGACAAATAATATGGTTCTTAAATGATAGATTTAGCTGATTTTACAAGGAGATGAAACAGACTGAAGACTCAACTTTTTGAGCATGAATGGAAACTAACTGGGCTTTTGGAGAAGTTAGGAGTGAAAGATATCCTTATATGTAAAGTTTTGTTTGATGTAACGAAACTTTTGTGTTCAATGAAATCTGTTCTAAGATGATCACTCTTGAGTAAACACCTTTTCATACATGCATTTGCATTTTGCATCTTTGCATTTTTCATTGTGCATTTATACTCTTATATTTGCTTTTGTACTATACAATTTGCATTGTTACATTCACATATTTACATTTGCATTTACATTTGCATTTTTTTACGTTTGTATTTACATTTGCATATTTCCATAATTACATTTTATTTCAAACTATTTTACATACATTCAATCATGACAGTGTGGAATAATTAGTGGAGAATTCCATGACAGAATCAAAGTGGAGTTAACTTGGTCTTCCTAAAGAAGGATAATAGCCATGAATGAGATTTTAGCAAGGGTTGGTAGAATTGAGAAATTACAAGAGCAATTTATCGAGACACAACAAAAGATGACTGATCAAGTGAAAAAATTCCAGAATGATTCAAAGGAACAACTGACCAAATTGATGGACCTATTGAATATTCTAATCCATGGAGAGAAACTGTAACACCCCCAACCCGTATCCGACCCGGATACGAGTCCGAAGTGTCACATTGACTTTTTAAACATTCATTCGTATAAAATAGTGGGTAATTTAAAAACTTTGATAACATTTAAATTATTTCAAAACGTTTACAACAGATATCAGAGTTCATACCATTTATATCTTTAGACTACATGCCAACTACACTCTGTAAACAGTACATACATTTTCTGATCTGACATTTGGTAAGGAAAACTGACCTGTCTTGCTCCGCATTACTCTTTCCTCTTCTCGAAACCTACGTGTGAAACAATCACACGCTAAGTCGAAGACTTAGTGAGGCATAACGACTTACAATGCACTTCATAACATATATCAATACATGCATGTTCTGTTCTACCATGTTATACCAATTCCATGCATTCTTCGTATCATATAAAATCATATCAGATTAATTACAGTAAATACATACAGACACATAATTCATCATTAACAGTTTATCATGTAATCACATACTTTTATTGTTAACCTTTTCAATTAAACACTATACACACACAACATCATATGGTTCACGTAACACATTTCAAACCACTTATAACCCCATCGTATACATATCACATTCAGTATGCTTGTTTAATCATTTTATTAGCCCATGTACACTAGTGAGAACTTAAGGTATGTGAGTACATTGAGGTTGTGCACACATATGCTGTCACCACAGCTCGATCAATGTCCCGAAGGACCAGTCCATAGATTCCGAAGAACCTAGGTAATCAGTCCATATGTCCCGAAGAACATAGGTAAACAATCCATATGTCCCGAAGAACATAGGTAAACAGTCCATATGTCCCGAAGAACATAGGTAAACAGTCCATATGTCCCGAAGAACATAGGTAAACAGTCCATATGTCCCGAAGAACATAGGTAAACAGTCCATATGTCCCGAAGAACATAGGTAAACAGTCCATATGTCCCGAAGAACATAGGTAAACCCTCGACCCTTGGCATGCCAACTATACCCCTAGCTCTCATATCACATAACATGGGCATTATCATCCCCAGTGGAAAAGTTCATAATAAGAAGAACTAATCCCAAAGAAAAACTTGTTCAACATTTCCGAGTGAAGTCAAATAAAAAAAACTTATTGTCTTTTCATCTTTGCTCTATTCTCGTTAACACAAGAATGAGCAAAGAGGGGCAGCTGAAGACACTAGTTTTTTTTCTCTCTCATTTGCTTACATTATTTATTATTATTATTATTATGTTATATTATATTTATTAAATAATTAATTAATTTTAATACATTGCAGGCCCAAAACCATAAGCCCGATTACAAACAAGACTGACCCAAACAGACTGGCCCAAACCTAATAACAAACCTTAAACCCTTTTAGGGTTTCAGCATCATCTATCGGACGCCTTTCTTCTCAACCGTTGGATCTGGCCTTGATCCAACGATCCCCAGATGTGCCAGAGGAAACCCTAGGGTATCATCACCCTAGGGCCACGTCGTTGCTTCCCTTACTGCTGCCACCCCGCCGCCTCAGGAAGTTGCTGCCACCGCTTCAACAGAACGCTCCAAAAGATCCAACTGCCACCCACACGTCGCGGCTATGGGGTGAGTCACCACATAGCTCGGTGACTCACCGAACTTCCCCCTCTGGACCGGTCCGAGCATGGCTCCGTGGTGGCTATAAAAGCCACCGGATCCTGCAAAACGAAAAGAAGGGGGGAGAAAAACAGAAACGAAGAACCCAAGAGCAAAGGGGACAGCAACACCAACAAGCGATCATTCGGAAATAACAGAGGAAAAGAGAAGAAAGAGACTTACCTTTGAAGCCTATTCTACAAACGGAAGCCAAATATTGTTGAACCGTCGTTTAATCGAAGGTAGAACCCTTCGGGTTTTTTTAGATTTACGTTTAGTGGAAGAGTTTTAGACGAAAAAAAGGTTAGATTTGGGCTTTGAGGAAATAGAGCTTCGATTTAGGCCATTTTTCCAGAATTCTGACCACCATGTACGGTGGTCGGCGGTGGTGTCGGCGCCAGAGTACGGCTGCCGGCCGGAATTGGACTCCCTCTGGTGGAGGGTTTTAGAGAGAAGGTAGAGAAAATATTTTTCTCTTAGCTAGAGAGAGAAGAAGAAGAGAAGAAATGAGGATGCTGGCCCGAAGGGCCAGCCGTTTAGGGTATTTATACCCGATATAAAACGACGTCGTTTCATGATGAAACAGTGCGTTTTGGGAAAAGAGTAAACCCTGTCCGTAGTGCTCCAAATTTGTAATCATTACAATTTAGTCACTGAAATTGATTTCTGATTATTTTAGTTTAGTCTTCTAATTTTATTTTATTTTAATTTAGTCCTTATCAACATATATATATATATATATATTTAGGGTAAATATCAAATTTAGTCCCTCATAGTTTAGTAATTATTATTTTAATTTCGAATTATGAATCAAGGTTAAATTACCATTTTAATGGCTGTCTTTTAAATAATTCGAATTAAAATTTTTTAATCTTTATATCACATAGTTTTAGTTTTCTTTATTTTGGTCATTGTTTGATTTAATATTATATTTAATTGTATTTTAATTTGATTTCTATTATTATCCTTTTAATATGTTTAAATTACTACTTAAATTATTATTTTATTATATCAGTCATATATATATATATATATATATATATATGTTTAAATAATGTTTAAATAATAATGTTTATTTATTTTTAATATCAAATAAAAGGATAGTCTTAAAGCAACTAGATGTCATATTCTGATATTTTAAATAAATATCTTACTTATAAAAATCAGAAAACACATATTGTTTTATTAGAGAAAATTATTATTTTTAATATTTAAATATTAAGAAAATGACATTCTTAAAACAACTGAATGTCCATTTTCTGATATTTTTAAATAAATATTTTACTTTTATCAATTATATATATTAGTAGAAATGTTTTATTAATATTTATTTATCTTTTAATATTAAGAAATGAGTTGTCTTAAAGCACCTAGAAGCCCTTTTCTGATATTTCTAAATAAATAAATATCTTATTAAAAATATTTTCTTAAAATTATAAATTTAAAATAACCGAATTATAAATATATCTTTGAATTCTTAAATTTCTAATAATAGAGATAATGTATAATTAAAAAGTACCAATTTTGAGCGTTGTAAGGGTACTAATCCTTCCCTAAACGTAACCGACCACGAATCCCTTTTTATTATTGAAAAGAACGAATTTTTGGTTAAAACGCAGATCAGTTTATCTTTTAATCAATGTTGTCTTAAAAACTCTTGTAAAGGATGTTTTTTAGGTATTCGACCTACCTGACCCAAATGATGGCGACTCCCAAAACATTTAAAAAAACCATTTATTCACATCACCTTTCCCGCCAAGAAAAAATTATTACCCGGGCGAAAACCGGTTACGACAGGTTTTATTATCTTGACGGAATTTTTGGTCAATTTTATCGTTACTTGACATATATTATTTGTTAGAGATAATTCCACAGAAGGCCCCAAACTATGACCTCTATTTTAAATTGATCTTTATATTTTAAAATGTTTTATACTAGTCTTCAAACTATAACACCATTCTAAATTGGGCTTCGAATTTATAAACTTACCAGAAAATTAGTAAAATTGTCGCAGCTTGATTTCCTCGTAAAACTTCAAAGAAATTGCAACAAGTCACGACAGAAAAGTGTGTACACCCTTGATTCTCTCACACTGACAGACTTCGATTATGATACATACAAGAGTCTAGAAATCATGAAACCAACAAAATTTGTTTTATTAGCATCAAAAAATGGTAATTACATAAGTATATGCAGGTTACATTAAATGGAGAAAGAAACAAAAATACCTCACATCTCTGATAAAAGATTGCTCATCTTCCGAAGCTCCTTGAGAGATGTAATGGCTGTAACTTGTTCTTTTCCAACTAGGATGTTTCTAGATGAATTGTCCAATGATCCTACTTGACCTTGATTTTGCTGGAAAACTGACTCCAGAACCTGCCAATCAAAACACGACCATTCAGTGATTCTAAATAAAGAAATCACCAAGCTTCATATAACTAATGTTTCGGGTTTGTGTTTCTTTAGATTCCATTTTCTTTAGATTCTATCCTCAGACTGTTCTATTCACCTGTTAATATTTTCCTTCAACGGTTTAAAGATTGGAATGGAACAGTTAAAATCACCAGAATATTACCTGGATGTGTTCGAGCATAGCCTGCCCAAGATTCTTCAATGTTCCCATCATATTCTGGTCCATAGTATCCCCTTTGCCGGTGGGATGCGAGTTACAAGAAGTACCGGCAACAGATGAGTCTGCTGTACTGCACTTGCTGTCATGAACTGGAGGTTTTGCAGCCTCATTGATACCTCCATGTTTATCGGATGTCTCCTCGTTGACATTGCTTCGTCCATACTTTCGAAACCACTGGAATTTACCTGAAAGATTCCTTCTCTCTTTCGTAGATGAGGTCTTCCCTGAAGATTCATTCTCATGCAGAGGACTATGAGAGACATCATCGGAAGGAAGGGAAACTCGATGCGGTAAATCTCCTGGGCTTCTCCCCCGGGGATCACCATTATCATCTACGGATAAATTTGATGCAGGACTACTCTTTTCGGAGTAAATTTCATGGTCATTAATGCTACAACCAGGAGGGATTGGAGGGTCAGGAAAAAAAGATTTCTCTTCACTTACAACAGCTCCACTTCCATTCTCGCATCTATCATCTATCGTGGCAATAGACCCTTTGTTAGCAGAATTTTGTCCTTCCCCCTGAACCTCTACAGAATGATGGTCCTCTAAATTAGAATCCTCGAAACAACCTCCGTTTTCAGCAACATCCTCCAAGCCGAGCTGCTTAGTCAAATCTTCAAGCAGACAACGCCTAATAGAATGATGCTCCTTTTTGCATTTTTCATTTCTTGCAGGTGATGGGGCAGATTCAGTTCTACTTAGGCGAAACTTTATTCTTTCAACCCATCTCTTTTTCCCACTTGGAGGATGCTTCCCTAAACTATTTTGCCTTAGTTCCTCTGCCTTGTGCTGTACTCTCCACTTTTCTTCCCAGTATCTGTCAGGCAGCAGGCTTCGATTGTTTTTTAGAGATCCTAAGCCAGATGGAACATTGAGACTGTTCGTTGGCGATTTTTTGCACTTATAAACTCCACCAAATGCAGACGAAAACGGCGCTTTGTTAGATTCCAATGCAAGAATTTGCAGTGACTTTGCCTTCTCCATAAGTTTTTTCAGATTTATACTCTCCGGAAATTTCAAGAGTCTCTGAAGACAAGAAGTTGCAGTTTCAGTGGCAAGCAAGGAAGATCTCAGAGAAAGTATCATAGAGACTGCCATAGCAGCAATTAATCCTCCACGGAATGAATCCTCTAGTTTAAAACTGAAATAGTCACTGTCCTTAGAAACTTTATTAAGTGGGCTATTATCTTCTGAGAAAATCTCATCCCATATAACTAAGAGATTTTGAAGTGAAAATTCCCGTCCAAATAAAACCCGCAACCATCGAAGTGCAAAATACTGTGGTTCAACACCAAGCTCAACAAGATGAGTATGCAGAGAAGAATCGACGATTGACAGTAAATGATATAGTGCAGCTGAGGCTTCAATGACAGGGGGCAAGCCACTTTGGAACTCAGCTGCAGGAGAGGAAGCAAAAAAATCTGCCATAGCAACTGAACCTCGTGCACCAGTCATCAGAGCATCAAACATACAGTAGGCATCATGTTCCATAAATTTCTCAGACAAGACAATACCAAGTTCACCTTCAGCTCCATAAGCATCACTTAGCAAGACAATGGCCTGTATCTCGGGATCAAGATCATTAAGACTGCAAACTTTCTTTGCGTTTCCTTGAGATCCAATCTCATCTTCCAAAGAATCTGAAAACTTTTTAAAATCAAAATTGTAAGCGTCACCATTTTCTTCAAATGGGAATCCATCAAATTTTTCAATAAACTGGTCTTCATATAGCTTCCGCACTTCTGAGAGACTCTCAATGTCAATATGAAGAACATACATAAGAGGAGCCAAGAGTTCATGCATTCCTACAAATACAAAAAGAAAGAGAAACAGATAAAGAGACAGCTTGATGCCTCACATATTAATAATAGTAAAGAGTTAAAAGTTAGTAAACCCAGGATATCGTGTTCCAAATGCAGTGATTTTCCATTGCCTTTGCCTACTACAAAATAAATTTGAATTACCAACTCCTACCAGCCTTCACCAAACATAACCACAACCATAAAACTATGTCTTAAACATTAGGATTCAAACCCTTGAAAACACAGTCAATATTTAGTATTGCAAGCATTGCTCCTTTCATTATTCAAAATATACAATGAGGTAACATGAAAAAAATAACACGTGTGCAAAGCGGTTAACAAAATACCTTGTCTATAACTGCACTCCGGGTGTCTAAGGCACCACAGTAACAATATTCGTCTCAGCATTCCCTGGCAACCAGGCGTCAGGAAGTAGCTTTCGTGCTCCGGATATAATCGTGATAAATCCTGGTTAACCATTTTTTCCATTTCAGCATTCCGAAAGAATCGACTCCAGGTGCTGTCTGCATGAAGAATTAGTTATTGGCTTAAATATAGATCAAATGAAAAAAAAACCTAAAATCATAAAACAGGGTGAAACCACAATAAATTTTCTCATAGAACAATATCCCAATCCATTTAGGCCGGTCTAATTTTTCACCGAAAAAAAAGTTGCAATTCATGACTTGAAAAACAACCAATCAGGATAGGGCATAATAAGAGGAAAAAAAAAGATTTGCCTCCTTTTTATGCAGCTGAGACTGAACCAATAAACACTGTCCACACAAATTCAGCATCCATCAAGATAAGACAACAAGGTACAAACAATAGTACTAGATCAAACAAAAACTGATGGATCAACAATGCAACTATCTAACCACTAGTGAACGAAAAATCAAAGAAATGCAACAAAATAAAGCAGAGAAATTACAATTACCTGGGTTTTGTGAGAGTGGATTATCCATAACAGGATTGGGGGGATTGCTTGCTCCATTCTTGGGAACGTGTGGATCCACTAGCAGTTGCCTTCTCAAACCAGCATATCTGAATTCCCATAAAATCAGAGGTTTGAGGCTACAGCAGCTAGTTTTTAATTTCAAAAAATGTAAAACATATTTAAAATTATAGAAATCATATAAAAAAGGATCGAGCTTTGGTAATATGTACAATAAAAAGAAGCTCAAAATTATAATTCCTCACTCTGGTGCTAAATTTTTCTTATTTAAAAAATGAAAAATAAAGGAAAAGATGAAAGGGTAACCTTCTGCGAGAATCAGCTGTTACCCTTCGAAGATCATCAATTGAAGATGAACGAGGTAAAATTCCGAGATTGATACGCCACTGGACGCCTCTAAGACTAGCAAAAGTAGGACTTTCAGACGGAGCAACTCCGGAAGACGACGGCGCTTCTTCCTTTGCAATGTCTTTGCTCATTTCTTGCGATCAAAAACACAAAACAATTAGACAAAAAAGAGAAACCGTTTACACCTGGATTTGGGAGACCAAAATCATTGAAACAAAAAATGAATTGTTTTCTTGGAGCAATAACCAGCATTTGAATGACCAATTTCTTTCTCTTTTCCCCATTTTAGAGAGGAAAAGAAAAAAAAATAATTGAAAAGTGGGACATGAAATAGCAAGTTTGTTTGTTTATTACTTTACTTGTTAACCAACGCAAAGTCCCCTCGTTAAATCTAAGTTCTATTTATTTATTTGAGTAGATTACGTTTTTCATCACTTAATTTTAATTATATTCTTGCTTTGGTTATTTAACTTTCAAAATTTTCAATTTAATCATTTAATTTTTAAATTATATTATTTTTTTATCAATTGAACGTTAAATAAAAAATAACAGTGTCGTCACTTGTTTTTCTTGGTGGCATGGCTCTTATTCTACTTATATGGAAGTTTTCTCATTTTATTTTTATTTTATTATCTTTCCAATAACTTTAAAATTTTTAGAGTTTTATTTTTATTTAATATCTTCAATTATTTTGTCATTTTTTTTATATTTTTTAACATGAAATGTTGGCACTTTATTCCACAAGAAAAATAAAGCAATACGTGGGAAAACCAAAGGCTTACAACAGTCTGGGAAAACAAAACAAACAAGAAAGAAGCTAAAGGGTTCTAGCTACAAGCGATTAAAGCAAAATAAAAAGAGAAAAGAGAGCCCTCTCACAGAGGGCAAGCAAACGAACGACATTTCACTCTCCTACAAGTCACGGAAGATAAAATGATGAAAGTTCCGCGCAGGAAGAGAAAAGAAGAATAGAAATCGATCCTTAACCAAGCACAACTAACGTGGAAAGGGATTAAGGGGGTCTAGCCATCGACAGTCCTCCACGGCTAACATCTCTACCCCCTTAGGCGCTTCCTCAATCCAGTACTGATCAACATCTCCAAGTGAAACCTCTGACGCCAGAAAGTGCGCCACTCGGTTACCATCTCTAGGTATGAAACGGAAGGAACAAGCATGCAAACTCCTTGCTTGACCTCGAATCTCAGCAATGATCGCCCCGATTTCTGAAAATTCGATGACTCAGAGGAAAGCTTCTTGATGACAGTCTTGGAGTCTCCTTTAATCAGCACTAGACAGAAGACCATAACCTGAGCAAAAGTAATGGCATGCAACACAGCTGTGGCTTCAACTCCAAACGCTGAGGTAAGGTGCTTCATTTTCTTTATGCATGCTCCCATTAGTAAGCCCATTGAGTTTCCAGCAAAAATCCCTGACCATCTATTCTATTGTGATTGCGAGAAACTTGCATCTGTGTTAATTTTAATGATATCAACCGGTAGGAGAGACATCCGAACTGAGATGGTGCAAGAAGGGCCACGAATACAAGCATTTGCCAGAGCATAATCGTGACATTGAGCCCAAATAAGCGTAAATAACTCCTCAGGTCTGGTCACTTTCCTCACATGGCAGTATCTATTTCTAGCATACCAAATACTCCAAATTCCCATGACTATTTTTGTTCTTCGCTCAATGTTATGCTGCATAATCAACCAATTAAACCAATCATTAAAGTCATAACCAGAAATTTGCATGGGCCACTGTATGTGAAGTAAATTCCAAATAGAAGCAGCGAAATGGCAATCACGAATGGTGTGAGCACTCGTCTCCACGTAAATATTACAAAGCAGACATAACGAGTCATTGATCAATCTTCTATTGAATAATTTGTATTTCGTGGGGATGAAATTTTGTAGAAATCTCCACACTTGCAATCTGATTTTTCTTTGGCACACGCAATCCCACAACTGCGAATACACGTACCTAGTAGCAACAGAAACATTATTCGATGAAAGTAACAATTTATAACCACTTCTAACTCTGTAAACACCACTACTATCTTTGCACCAAACCCGACAATCTAAATTACAAAAAACTGTAAGTGGTATACTGAGAATACTCTGCGCCTCTTTCTCGCTAGATAAAGTAGAAATACGAGCTACATCCCATTCATGATTATGATCATTAATTAGGTCCGAAACACACTTGACATTTGCCGCCCATGGAGAAGCAATCTGTCTCAATTCAAAGCCCGGTAACCAGTAGTCATTTCAAATATAAATGGAGGTACATGTTCCCACTAGCTATTTAAGTCCCAACTCCAACAACCCTCTAGTACTCCAGATACTGCCATATGTATGACGACTGAGAACCAAGACGAGCGGACAGAAAATCAATGTGAGTAAAATATTTTGCCTTAAGTATACGACTAACCAATGAGCTAGGATTATGAATTAACCGTCAACCTTATTTTGCAAGTAGAGCGACGTTGAACTTTGCCATATCCCGAAACCTCAAGCCCCCCAAAAGTCTTTGTTGAACTATATTTTGATATAACAAATTAAGGAAAAATATTTTTTGACTTGATGAATTTATTCAAAGTTTTCAAAAATTTTAAAAATAATTCAAAGTCCATTAAAATTAAATTTGAGCACAAAATTGATTTTCATGTATGTAGTACCGATATTGTTCTTATAGTATCGATACTATATGAACAATACTGATATTGTTCATGTGGTACAAATACAAAAGGTAAGAGAAGTATCGATACTCTCAAGGTAATATCGATACTACCAGCATTACTCAAATTCCATAATGTAAAAATGGTACTGATACCCAAAGGGGTACCGATACTACTTTACATAGTAGTATCGATACCATAGGCTTAGTATCGATACCGTTAGGCCAAACGGCTAGTAACTGCTAGTTTTATTTAAAAATGACAAAGGTAGTACCTATACTCCCTATAGGAGTACTGATACCCTATATACTGGACAATTTATTTTGTAGAGAAAACATCCCCAATGGCTAGAAACGACCACCAACTCATTCCAACATATAAATACAAGTTCAAGACACTTGAAGAAAGTTTAGAACACCTATCCAAGCAATCAAACACAAGAGAAGAGCTTTTTATTATTTATTCCTATTGGCTTGTAAATATTTTGTTCTAATGAGCTTTATTTTGTAAACACCCTACCTTGTAGAGGTTTTATTGTTTACTTCTTTTTACCATTTTTTAAAGGGGATTAGTTCTAGTTTAGCCAAGTGAAAAACTAGGGAGTTTGTAAATGTTACTATTGATCATTGAAAAAGAAAGAACAAATTAGTGGATTTGTTGGAAAATGCTTAGTGAGGAGCTAAGGTAGAGGAGGTAGACTTAGTTGAGAAGTCGAACCACTATAAATCGCTATGCAAAATTGTCTATCATTTCTTTCTCCTTACTCCCTAAACAATATTGCCAATTCACCCCCTTGTACATATTTTTTCGGTTGTTCAATTGAGCCTCTTCGATCCTAACAATTGGTATCATAGCTTAACTCATTAGAAGGTTTAACCACCTTGAGACGATCCTTGAAGAAGTTCTACCAATTCCCGAAGCAACCGAGAAGATGACTTCCACATCCAGCTCGTTCTACATGGAAGACTCACAATCGATCAACAAGCCTCCACATTTCAATGGAGCAAATTACTGTCATTGGAAGAAAGTAATGAAGTTATTTATCTAATCCAATGATCTTGATGCATGGGAGATGCTCGAGAATGGATACTCTTCTCCAACGAAAAATACGAAGAAGTGGAGTGACCAAGAATGGAATAAATCTCAACAAAATGCCAAGGTTCTGCACATTGTTTTGTGCATTTGGTCCCGAAAGGAGTTTCTTCTTGCTCGAATGCCAAGGAGCTTTGGAATAAGCTCGAGGAAATCTATGGAGACAATAAAGAATAACCAACAAAGGTGGTGTCTCTAATGGCTCATGAAGAGTCCAAGGGATCTTCTAACTTAAATGAATTAAATTCACATTCTTTTGATGAGTTAAAAGATGCTTATAATGAGTTGTATTTGGAATTTGGGACCATGAATTCCAAATATAAGAAATTAATTTCAAAATATAAAGTTGAAAATGATTTGATTTTGAAAGCCAAAGTTGATTTTGAAAATCAAAATGAAACTTTGAAAAATTATTTAGAAATTTCAAAAGTCAAAATCAATGATTTAGAAAAAGAAAATTTTGATTTGAAAGTTAAACTTGAAAGCTTAACAAAAGAAAAATAATTAATTTCTAAAAACAACTTATTATGTTTAAAAATGGCAAAATGCTCACATTGCAATTTTCATGATCACATGGAACATGCTTGTCCTATAAAGAAAAGAAAATCTTTCAAAATTAGACAAGTATGGGTTCCAAAGGGAACAAGGGGCATTGAAACTAACGTCCAAGGATCCAAAACAATTTGGATACCAATATCTACTTAATGTCTCTTGTATGTGTGTGGGAGCAATGATAATGAAAATGAAGATATTCAAATGCTCTAGGAACACTTGAAAAGGAATGTGTAACCTCTAAGCTTAATGTTTTTTTTATTATTTGGTTGCTCATTTAGTTAAGCATGCATGAGTTTTGATCTTATATGATTATGCATTGTTTTTCATCTCATGTATGTTGAAAAAGTTTTATGATGAACATTTTAAAGTTTTAATTATTTTTCATGATTTTTAGTTCATCGTAATGAATTTTGGTCAAAATTGGTTTTAAATGCAAATGATATATCTCTAACAATTGATATCAAATTTTTAAAATGCTTTGATTTTACAAATTTTAATTTTTGACCTAAATTTAAATGTTTATGCATGTGGTTTAAAATGCAAATGATATCTCTCTAACAATTGATATCAAAATTTTTGAATGCATAACATTTTTGGATAGTTTTATGCACATGAACTTAATTTCAACAATTGGTATGTATAAAGTTTATTATACTTGGATATATTGAATTTCATGTGCTACTAACATATTTGTTATTCTTTGTGAAATTCAATTTAATTTGTTTAAGTGTCAAGCTTTTAAAGTTAATTTTTTGTTTGGAATGCAATTTTTAGGAGGAGCTTTTGATTTTTAAATGATTTTATGATAAAATTTATCAGTTACTCTCCAATGTTTTTTGAACTTTAAAATTGAATTATTTTTTATATAACAAAAATGAGAGAAGTATGAGTTTGAAAAATTCAATTTTTCAATGAAAAAAAGGAGCTGAACATTTTCCAACAATTTGTATATTTTTCATTAAATATTTTAT